ACACACACAACTTCGTAGACCAAGAGAGCTCACATTCTTGCAATACAAGAGGAATTTTTTTATTTTACAAAGGAACAATGCTAAAGTGAATTAAATATATAACATATTTTTAACTTACAAATTCAAATATCCATTTCTTGGTCCAAATTTTAAGTCTAAATTCCAGAGGGGGGGTTCAGGTAAAAAAAAAAGCAAGTCGTAAATCTGGATATATGAAGTGGAAGATGTGCTTTATTTTTTTGCTATCTGTGAAACATGATGGAAACAAACGTCAATATATGTATATATTGCATAGCTGTAATAGGTAGCCAGTGAAAGACTGAAGAAAATGTGACATCACAATTCAGAGAAACATGAAATATGGCAGAAAAACATTGTCAGATTTACCTGTCCCCGTGGTTTTATGCACCCCGCATAATTAAGCAAAATTTGATCATTTTTTGCACAATTTCTGATTATTTTCCTTTATCATTCTTTGTTAAAATTAACAGAATCGCATAATTTCACATTTTTGGGCTCAGTTTGCATAATTTCAGAATTGTTATTGCATAAAACGACGGGGACAGATTTACAACCGACCACCTAAAATATTTACACAAAGTAGGTCCTACAGCTTGTGCTCTTTTGCCTGACCGCGTTTTTAAAAAGTGGGTGGTTGGCGGGTGCTCTGGTGTGGTTTACTTCTCTTTCCTGTCATCAAACATCAGAATCTATCATCTTTCTTTTTCTCCCCTCCTTCTCTTTTGTGTTTGTTACTCTCTTGTAACACCTCTAATCTTCGGTACTTAGAATATGACCTTATTGTGTTGCAAGTGCCGTAAAATACTTACTAAAACACGTTTAAAAAATGTAACTTATTTATTAACTTCACTAGGATCCATTTACCTATGCCACACTCGGACAGGACAGCCTCACCACTGCACCAGTCACACCAATAGCAGCTCTGTGCTAGGAGAATGTCCCAGATTTTTATTTATCTATTTATCTATTTATTTTTTAAATTTATTTTTTTATTTATTCATCTATGAAAGAGCCTGAAAAACTTGAAACTTGAGAAGAACCATCTGGATCTATTTGAATTAAACAAGTCTATCAAATATAATGATAAACCTTTTTCAAAGAATGACACAGAGTACCATTCACCGACTACCGGCGCCAGTGGTGTTAGAGCAAAGATAGTAACTTTGGTTCTAGTTATAGTTAGGCACCTCGCTGCTGTTACAACATACAACACAGGCTGGCATAGCAACAGTTAGTAATTGGTCGCTTTCACGCACAAGGGGGCTCTCCCAAAAAATGCTGTTTTGAAAAAATTGAAGGTAAAGTTTTTTCCCCTTGTTCAGTTTCTTTAAAAGACAAGGAGAGTTTTCTCTAGATCAGTTATACAACCAAACAAACACACTCCTGAAACCAAACTTCTCCTATAGGTAGGGCAATCCCACTTTGGTGTGGGTCAAGATTTCTGGAAACCTCCGAAATCTCTGTCAGCCCGAATGTCCCTAAAAAGCGACCAAACATAGCATGCAAGTTAATTAAGCAAACTGACAATGTAAAAGTACGGCATTAGTGTTACGTATACGACAAATGGCATACAGAGATGGCAGGTAATAAAAACCTATATATATATATACATTATATATACCGCTGAGATACAAACTGGCATAGATCTACATGATGCTCTGGTGTGGTTTGCTTCTTCTTTCCTATCATCCTATCAAACATCTATCGTCCTTATCTCTCCTCCTTTTTTTTTGTGTTTGTTACTCTCTAGTAACACCTCTTATCTTCGGCACTTACATGACCTTATTGTGTTGCAAGTGCCGTAAAACTCTTACTAAAACTAAAACATGACACGGGAGAGTTCCACATACCCACAGTAAAAAGGTCAAAGGGACTAAGCCCAGAAAGAATTTTTTTTCTAAAGATTTAAAAACAAAACCAACTGGGGTTTTTTTTTTTCACTTTTAATAGATGCACCTCTCTATGTTATGAATTTTTTCTTCCAAGCCTTTTTTCCAACATTTAGAGTCAAAATTTCCACAAAATATTTATGGAGCACATGTAACCAACACCACAGATTTAAGAAACTCCAATTTTTTTTAAATTCTCAATCTTGGCCATAGAATCTAGATCTAGTACTAGTAGTAGTAGAGATTAAGATTAAGAAATCCAATTTTTTTTTAAATTCTCAATCTTGGCCATAGAATCTAGATCTAGATCTAGTACTAGTAGAGATTAAGATTAAGAAACTGCAATTTTTTTATTTTATTCTCAATCTTGGCCATAGAATCTAGATCTCTAGTACTATTAGAGATTAAGATTAAGAAACTGCAATTTTTTTTTTAATTCTCAATCTTAGACATAGAATCTAGTACTAGTAGAGATTAAGATTAAGAAACTCCAATTTTTAAAAAAAATTCTCAATCTTGGCCATAGAATCTAGTACTAGTAGAGATTAAGATTAAGAAACTCCAATTTTTTTTTAAATTCTCAATCTTGGACATAGAATCTAGTACTAGTAGAGATTAAGATTTAAAAACTCCAATTTTTTTTTTTTTTAATTCTCAATCTTGGCCATAGAATCTAGATCTAGATCTAGTACTAGTAGAGATTAAAATTAAGAAACTGCAATTTTTTTTAAAATTCTCAATCTTGGACATAGTACGAGTAGAGATTAAGATTAAGAAACCGCAATTTTAAAAAATAATCTCAATCTTGGACTAGTAACCTACTAGTACATATGAACAGCTGACCGGTGATAGACTTGGTCCTTGGTCCGAGTCAACTCCTTACTCTCTGAACTCTGCGGTCCACTTTTAACACACATAGTGGTGCTAGAAACATGCCTGGGTGGCTGGCAGGTGCTCAAGTATGGTTTGCTCCTTCTTTCTTTTCAAATATCTGTAATCCGTATTTCTCCTCCTTCTCTTTCTGTGTAGCTGCCTTGCAACACCTGTAATCCTTGGCTTTTATACATGACTTATGTGTGTTGCAAGTGCCGTAAAACTCTTTACTAAAACTTAAAAAATAACCATGAGTGTTAAAATAAAACAAACTTAGTGGGAACAGTCGCCTCTGTCTCCGCTCCCATGTCTGCATGTCGTCCAATTTTGTCTCCTGGCACATACACCTACTCGAGGAAAATTCACAAGTTTGATCTCTGCTAAAGGGTGGTTGGCGGGTGCTCTGGTGTGGTTTTCTCGTTCTTTCCTTTACAACATCTATCATCCTTATCTCCCTTCCTTTTTTTTTTTTTGGTGTATGTTACTTGTTACTCTCTTGTAACACCTCTAATCTTCGGCACTTTTGTGACCTTATTGCGTTGCAAGTGTCGTAAAACCCTTACTAAAACATAAAACAGATTTCTGTTAAGTTATAAATAAAATAAAATTCCAGTGCTTTAAAAAAAAAGTCTTAAGCAGTTTGAGACCTCTACTCTAAAACAAGCAGCCTCAGGATTTGACCATCACCTCTCCTCCCCCTCCCCACTCACCTCCCTGGCACACAAACACATTGACTCAGTCCCACTTTCTGTAGCACGGCATTACTTTGACAGTTTAACATCTCTTTCAACTGGGGGAAATTATTTAAAAGGGCGTAGGGGGGAGGCTTATGATGTTATATCCACCTCTGAAAGGATAGTAATAATAATAATAAATAATAATAAAAAGCATTTGTATAGCGCATATCCCCGCTCAACAGCAGGCTCTATGCACTTTACACTATATTATTACCCCCAGCAGACCATAGAACACTCCGAAGCATTATCAGCTTCCCGGGAAGCATACAGTGCAAGCAGCTGATTAAGCGCTCAAACACTAACAAACTGACAAGATCTTTTGCTGTCTATAGCCGGGTACCCATTCCCACCTGGGTGAAGTGAGGAAAATTCGTGTAAAGTGCCTTTCCCAAGGACACAACGTCGGGCCCCTGACGGGATTCGAATCCACGACCTTACGGTTGCGAGTCCGAGAGCCTAACCACTAGGCCACCGACGCCATAATTAAACCATAATTATTATTCTCCAGGCACTTGTCATTCCACCGACAGAAGTGTAGATCAAATGAAGGAACAACGAGCTCGAGCAGAAGGCATAAACCACACGAGAGCACCCTCCAACCACCCGGCAACATATCGAGCAGTCATGTCAAACCTCCGTCCCATCATCGCCTGGCATCTGGTATTTCTGCGACAACAAAGAATAAATCTGCTCCAGCTTGCTGAGCCGGTCGAGTCTGTTGGCCCCCCACCCCTTCTCCCCCCACATGATGAGGAGATGAAACTCAGGGCACAGCACCTCCAGCAGCTCAGGGTCAAAGTTCAACATGCTCAGCACAGTGCAGGCCATGGCTTGGTACAGGCGCACTTGAGAGGCGATGACTCGCGCCGTGTCCAGGTGCACCAGAAACACGTCAATGGCGGCGGCCACGGGGTCAAGGTCGTGCTCCCAGTACAGGCGGTCACGTGACAAGGCCGTGCTCAGCTCCAACATCTGGCACATGGGCAGGACGTGGGGAATACTGACGTTGTTCAACGGGAGGTCGCTGGTCCCGTTGTTGAGAGATACAAACGTCGGGCGAAGTTTTGTGTCAAAGATGTAGGCGCTGGCCGTGTGGTTCTGCCTCAGGATGAGCCAGGTGTCCGTCAGTCGCCCGATCTGCTCTGACGTCAGCGCGGTCATGAGGGCGGAGAAGTTGAAGAGGTTCCCTACGGTGGCCTTCAGCTCCAGGCACGTCTGGATCCACAGGCTCAGGATCTTGGCTCTCTCCGTGATGCTTTGAGAGGTCAACAAGGTCAGCTCGGCAAACATTCTCAGACACTCCCAGCGCTCTATCACATCCTGCCGCATCTGCTGCCCCGACGGAAGCGTCAGCAGTTCGAGTCCAGACACAACACCGAGTCCTAAATCTTTCTCGTCCGTTATTTTCATCAGTTCTAGATCATACTTTGTCAAATGAAGCGCTACGGTTTTGGGAGATTTGCTTAACAACATGGCTTTAACGGTCAATAAAACGGACTGGTCCAAGGCTTTGTGCCCTTGAGGCAGCAGACCACAGGAGAAATGCTCGGGCTGTATTGAGCTGTCTTCCAGTTTGACCGGGGTTGTAATGTTGCGACACCTCATGTACTCCACCTCGTCGCTAGTCAGGTCTCTGTCACACGGCAGTTTGACGCTGGCTCGGCCTGAGTACAGCCCCTCGCCGACCCTCTCCCTCCCCGCCGACCTAGAATTCTGCTCCTGAGCTTTCAGAGCTCGCCGCGCCTTTTCTTTAGCAGACCTCACGGGCAAAGTCCTGTACATTTTCTGGTCAGAGTCGCCGAAGTTGTTGTCGTAGTCGTTGTCTTCCTCCTGGTCTCTGGAGCTGGTGTATCGCTGGTCGCTGAGCCGTCGCCCCACCACGCGGTACCTCATCACGGACGGATCAGGGTCAAGGTCAGGGTCAGGGAAAGACACAGACGATCCAGAGTTCAGACCCAGGGCTTGACCAGGACTCTGGAAGTGACCGCCGCGTCCTGGCGGCAAGGGCGGGCTCTCGTCCTCCATGTCCACGTTGGGTTTTCTGTTGGCGACAAGTCGGGCCGCCCGCCTCCCTCGCTGCGGCTGGTCTGTGCGGAAGGCCGGGGAGGACTTGTTATTGGGGGAGGGCGCACCGGGGGCGGGGGCTCGCAGCCAGCTGGGAGCCTCCTTGATCTGGCTGTAGTCCGAGTAGTCCCGGTCATCGTCGTCGATGTCCACCTTCCTCACCACTACCACCGGCTTCTGCTTGTACTTGATCGACGGCGTGCGGCTGGGCTTGGGGGGTGGTGGGTTCGTCAGCTCGCTCTCCGAAGACGCGGGTTTGATTCTCCCATCTGGCGTGATGAACGAGTTTCCCTTTGTTGAGATGCCCGTTTGTCTCCGTGTTTGTATCGCGCGCGACGATGATTCCTTCTCCGGGCCCAAGACGGGAGCGCTGCCCGAGCGCATGTGGACGACCATGGGAGTGGGGGACTGCTGGCTGCTGCGGGGGACGGACGACGATGGCGCGTTGATGAGTCCGTCAGGAGAGGTCACGCTGATGAGCGGCAGGCTGTCGGACCGCTCCAGGAACGAGGGGCTGTTCCGCTTCTGTTTGGCGCTGTTGTTCAAGTCGTGGGAATCGGCCTCGGGATCGGCGGAAACGTTCAGAACCGGCTGACTTCCGGTCCACTTGTGGCCGCGCCGATTCATCTCCGGGCTGTCTGCGGGGCTTCCGAGTGGGCTGAAGAATGGGATCTGTTTCTGAGTGTGCGCCGGCGCGTAGTCGCCTTCCGGGGAGAAATTCCCGCCAGTTCTGAGCTGTGCCGCGTAGTAGGAGAGAGGCACAGAGCGGGGGATGGCGTTCTTCAACACTGCACCAGACGCTTTCGTCACCGGCTTCCGGCGATGCTGATAAAAATAGATGAGCTCCTGAATGGTGAAAAACGCGTCTTCCTCAAACTGGTAGGACACGGGCGCGATTCTGCTCTGAATGCCCTCATTCACCACAGCGTTTATCACAAAACTGAGAGGGACGCCGTTCCACTTACAGGTCAGGACAAAGTCCCCAGGTTTGGAGATGCTGTTCCGCACCAGGAAGTCGCCCTCTTCTCGGAGCAGAGCCTCGGCGCCTTGTCTGGACACACTGCCGTGGAACCAGGGCCGGCTGGTCAGCTGGGACGTGTCTCCGCTCAGCTCTTTCTGCAGCTCAATCTGGAGACTCTCTGGGGAGCGCCAGGGCTGGGGGGTGCTGGGCTGACCTCCGTGACCCCCGTGACCCCAGTGACCTCCGTGACCCGGGGTAATCGGGGGACTGGGCGCTCTGGAATAAGGGAGAGGACAATGTTCATCCTGTCATCATGTGTGTGAGTGCGTGTGTGTGCGTGTGTGTGTGTGTTCGTGTGTGTGTGTGTTCGTGTGTGTGTGTGTGCGTGTGTAGGTGTGTGTGTATGCGTGTGAGTGTGTGTTTGTGTGTGTGTGTGTGTGTGTGTGTGTGTGTATGTGTGTGTGTGTGTGTGTGTCTGTGTGCCTGTGTATGTGTGTATGTGTGTGTGTGTGCGTGTGTGTGTGTGTGTGTCTGTTTGTGTGTGTGTGTGTGTGTGTGTATGTGTGTGTGTGTCTGTGTATCTGTGTGTGTATGTGTGTGTTTATGTGTATGTGTGTGTGTGTGTGTGTGAGGGTGTGTGTGTGTATATGTGTTCATGTTTGTGTGCATGTGCGTGTGCGTGTGCGAGTTTGTGTGTGTTTACGTGTTTGTGTGAATATGTGTGAATGTGTGTGTATGTGTGTGTGTACTCACTTTGTCTTGTATGTTTCTGTCTATCATATGTCTGTGTCTGTTTCTCTTCACATCTAAATGTATACATGTGTTTTTAAGCCTCAATTGACACAATTTTAACCAATCAGGAGCCTGGTTTTGACCCTACCTGTCAGGGTCAACCCCGGCCGAAATAAATACAACATCCCAGCAGACAGACCCGGGCTGAGAGGGATACAACATCCCAGCAGACAGACCCGGGCTGAGAGAGATACAACATCCCAGGA